GACCTTCATTACGCCATTCGGGCGCTTTTGCTTCAAGCGATTCCCATTTGGCATCACGTCAGCCCCAGAAATGTACCAACGATAAATGAGTAACCTGTTGATCGGAATACAAGGGGTTGTGGTATACATGGATGATGTTCTGGTCACTGGCCGCACAAAAGAAGAACACGATGAACGACTCCAATACGTTCTCACGATTATACAGAACGCTGGGCTGAAGCTCAACCGAGACAAGTGCAAATTAGCTCAGAGAAAGGTTGACTTCCTTGGCAAGAAGCTGAACAAGGACGGCATCCATCCCGGCCCTGCAAAGATAGCAGCTATCATACAGATGGTGTCACCAACTAACAAAGCCGAAGTGAAACGACTAATGGGCATGGTGAATTGGTTGACCAGGTTCATTCCTCATGCATCTTCAGTTGCTGCTCCAATTAATGACCTACTGAAGAGTGATGTCAGCTGGATGTGGGGACCACACCAGCAATCAGCCTTCCGCGGATTGAAGACGCTCCTGACGTCAGCCCCTGCCCTTGCATTTTATGATGCCGCTAAGCCGACGATTGTCGGAGCTGATGCCAGTGAATATGGCCTTGGCGGCTGTATTCTACAGCAACTAGATGACTCAGAGTGGAAACCGGTGGCATATTGCTCAAGAGGTCTTACCAAAGCAGAACGCCAGTACGCCCAGATAGAAAAAGAGCTGTTGGCCTCGGTGTGGACATGCGGAAAGTTCTACGTGTACCTGAGAGGCCTCCATGTCACAATTCAGACAGACCATAAGCTGCTTGTTCCACTCATCAACAACAAAGACCTGTGTGACACACCATTGAGGTGTCAACGACTCCTCATGCGCCTCATTAAGTACAACTGCACTGCTGTGTATGTACCCGGCAAACACCTTGTAGAGGCCGATACCCTGTCTCGTGTCCCACTGACTTCACCGGTCACTGAATGTGACAATCTTTCCGATGAAGTAGAAGCACACGTCTATATGGTGACAAACCATTGGCCAGTTTCCCATGGAAAGTTGGAGGAGATCACACGAGAAACTGCCCTTGATCCTGTGCTCAAGCAAGTTACACCACATGTAACTAGTGGTTGGCCAAAGTACTCCAAGTGCGTGGAGTCTTCAACAGTGTACTGGGAAAAACAGGAAAACTTATGTCTCTTCAAGGGGCTTCTCACTTCTGGAGACCATATTGTTATCCCAGCAAAGATGCAACAAGAGATGTTCTCCAGAATCCATGAAGGTCACCAGGGAATTTCCAAGTGCAGAGCACGAGCTGCCCAAGCTGTTTGGTGGCCAGGTATTGGGACCGATATTGCCCAACACGTAGAGAGATGTTCCTACACTACCTAGTGCTGGTGGGCTACTACTCCAGATGGAGAGTGGTACACCATCT